CGTGGGTGCACAGGTTGGTGGGCGGACACAGTGGTGGGCGGACACAGGTGGTGGATGAGTGGACACGGTGGTGGGTGGGTGGACACGGAGATGAGTGGACACCGGTGGTGGGTGGGTGGACACATTGGTGGGCAGGTAGGTGGACACAATGGTGAGTGGATGGGGGGGGCACCAAACCTGCAGCCTCCAGAGCCCTGGGGAAGGGTGGAATTAGCACCATGTGAGTGAGAGTGGCACTCCTTACAGGGGCTAGGAACCTCCAAACCGGATCGCCGCCAGGAAGGCCACCTTACCCCTAAGGGGAGATGACCTGGTTCTGAAAAACCCCGGGGCGGCTCCTCTATCCGGCGGCAGAACTCACAGGGACAACGTGAAGCTGGTTTGTCACAGTCCTGATGCCAACAGGGAGTTCCCTCGGTGCCTCCACCCTGCGGAAACTCGCCTCTCTCCGGCAAGAAGCCGGCCCCAGGCTGCCCGAGGGCCTGTCGGCAGCGCCCGGGCTTGTCTCTCTCGGGAGACACCCAGCCCGGCCCCGGGCCGCCCCGCGGGAGTGGAAGCCGGATCCCGCTCTTTCGTTTTCATTTCCCGGAAGGATAGCGCTTACCGAGCGCCCCGCGCCTGCTCGCTGGGGCCGAGCGCACGCCCCGAGCTACTGAGAGAGGTCTCCCTCGCGCCCTTCCAGTTCTCGGGCCGACTTAGGGGCTCAGGGAAGGAGGACTTGGGAGCGCGGGGCCAGGGTCCGCCAGCAGCCGCAGACGCAGACGCGAGCGCTCACCACCGCAAGCCGGCACTCCTCGCCTCCACCTGTAATGCAGGTAAGAGCGCAGGCGGAGACGCGCCCCCTCCTGTCTCCACCACCTCAGTCTCCGAACCCGCCCTATCAGGCCTCTGTCCTGGCTGGAATATCACTTTCCAACACATTTCTGAACCTCTTCCTCCATGCCTAACCCTCTTCCCTTTGCGCCTCCAGACAAACCCCTCATGTCTCTTCCTGAAGCCCCTGGGTGTTACCATGGGGTGAGAAGGTGGCAGGGTCCCTGCACCTCCCCAGGAGTCTCCTTACCTCCTCCTCACCCTACATCAGCCCGATGCCAGGTCCCTGGAAGCTCCTGCCAGGTGGGGTCCTTACGTGGCAGAGGCCATCATCACGTGGGACACCCTTAGCAGCCCCACTCATTCGCTGTTCCTTAGGAACCCCAGAGCGCCTGGAGCTGGGGCTCGTCCCACCTCCAAGGCCTTCGTCCATTTCCCTTTTTCCAAGATTCATACCCATTGATCAGACCCTCCTTGGTCCTCAGCGGCTCTCTGGCTGGCATTCCCCAGGCAGTTGAGCCCCAGAATTCTCCCTTTTGCTTGGAAGAGGTCAAAGGAGTTAGGCAAGGAGCCCTCTGCCCATCCTAGTCAAGGCCTAGGTTTCTGGCCTCTTGTCCAGCAAGTCGACCGGCAATGACCCCCCCCCATCTCCAGGTGGCAGCCTCTGAGACTTGGTTACCAGGGAAACAGCACCAGCTGGGGCACCAGGATGGGGCAGGCCGGAAACCAGTGGGGACTTCCCCAAAGGTGTCCTGTCCCAGCCAGTGCTTCTGGGGTTCACTTTGCTGGCTCTAGAGCCCAAATCCTTCCCTGCAGATCGCCCTCCTCAGACCCCACCTATGAACACGAAGCTCCGGGAGATCCTAGAATGAAAACGGAACTGGTTTCACTTTTCCTTTCATGGCAGCTTGTGACTGGTCTTGTGTCCCGAAGATCCTTGTGTTTCTACACAAATCCAGTCACTTTTTTTATCTCCTCATCCTACTGGGTGAACCCCATCACCTCTCGGGGCTATGCTGGTTGTATAATAAAATGGTAAGGACACAGACTTCCCTTCGGGAGACCGTGAAAGGTCTGGGGTTCAGAAACTACCCCTTTTCTCTTTAGAAAATAGTGCTCGCTTGCCTCTGGTTGGAGGTCTTTTCCTCCTGGGCCCTCAGGTTCCGGGAGCTGTCCTTTCTCGCTGGAACCTGAGTGAGTGTTCCTGGGCCCCCAGTCTCAGTCGTACAGGTCGGGTCTCGCAGGGCATCCTCTGGAGAGATGAGGCACGAGCCCTGAAAGCATGAATTGGAAGCAGGAGCTTCATCACGCGGCCGCTGTGTACAGACGCTGACACGCAGTGGAAGTCCCACGTGCTTCCTACCTGCAAGGGCGATTCGGTCTGAGCAGAGATGAACACTCCTGTCTGAAAAAAGTTCTTTTTTTTTTTGGAGGTTTTTGCTATAGGGTGCGTGTGCTTGCCAGACAGACAGAGAGAGACATAGAGACAGAAAGCGAGAAATCACCCCCCAGGGGGGATGGTCACGCCGCAATCCCTTCTCCTCCATTCTCCTCTCGGGATCTTGGGCACACACGCACACGCGCCCGGCGTGAGTTTAAGCCACCGGGTCCGGGATGTGAACCGTGGTTGACTACGTGGGAGTCCAGCGACATAGCCATTACACTAACTGCTGGTTCCCTGAAAAAAGTTCTTAAACATGGAAAAGTGGCAGAGCCGTCACCCTAATTTGCTCTTCGCCTGGTTTTCTCTTTCTAGGAGGGAGCACTGGCCAGTTCTGTAAGCCCCGTGGCTGTCCTGCCACCCCGAGGCACGCAGGCCCAAGCCAGATGTGAAGGGCAGAGGAACCCGCTGGGCGAGGGGGGCATCTGTACGCTGCCGGGAAGACTCCGTAAGTAGAGAGGAGAACGCTGATGTTGTGAAAATCAACTTTTTAAATGGACGAATTAAAGTCGTACATGTTTATGGGGTACAAAGCGATGTTAGGATATGTGTACACTGTGTGGGATGATTTAATCAAGACAGTTAATATATACAAAATTTAACTTATTTTAAAAAAAATTTGCCAAAGGGCATGTGAGTTCACTAGAGAGAGACACAGAGAGAGGGAGAGGGAAAAAGCGCCCCCAAGTAAGGCGTGGTTATGCCTTAATGCCTTCTGCATTTCTTCATCCTCCTGGGATTTGGGGCATGGGCACACATGTGCCTGGTGTGTTTTCTAAGCCCCTGGGTCCTGTGTTCAAACCCTGGTGGGCCGTGTGGGATCTAACTCCCTTCAGATACTTGTCATTCATTCCTCCAATCTAGTTGCAATGTCGCACCCTTGACCAACCTCTCCCCACCACCCCCAGCCCCTCAGCCCCTGACAACCACCGTTCTTCTCTCTGCTTTTATGAATTGTATTGTATTAGCTTCCACACCTAAGTGAGATCGTGCAGTGTTTTTCTTTCCGTGCTTGTCTTATTTCTGTCTTTTCTTTCTTTTTACTTTTTATTTTACTTTCTCTTACACATTTAATCACATATGTCAAAAGATTTTTGTTATAGGGTGCTTGTACTTGCTGGAGAGATAGAAAGACATAGAAGAAAGTGAGAAATCACCCCCCAGGGGGATGGCCACACCACAATCCTTTTTCCTCCATTCTCCTCTTGGGATCTTGGATGGTATACAGACGGTATACAGCTGACACGACCATGTGTTGGGGTGGCCAGTCTCCTCATTGATAAGATGAAGGCTGGGATAGAATGAGTACTTGGGGGGCCAGCAGTTGGCGTAATGGCTATGTCGCTGGACTCCCATGTAGTCGACCGCTGTTTGAGTCCCGGACCCGGTGGCTTAAACTCAAGCCGGGTGCGTGTGCGTGTGTGCCCAAGATCCTGAGAGAAGAATGGAGGAGAGGGATTGCGTTGTGGCCATCCCACTGGGAGATGATTTCTCACTTTCTGTCTCTATCTCTGTCTTTCGGGTGCGCACACGTGCCCTATAGCATAAACTTCTCCAAAAAAAAAAATAAAAAAAAGAGTGAGTACTTGGAGTAGCCTTGAGTACCTTTCTGGTCCAAAAACAGAAAGTTGGGGATGTTGCCAGTACAGAAGACAGACTTAACAGCGAGGCTACATTGTGACAGTCATATGTCTGTAGAACCCTCTTTTAAATAATAATGTTTAATTCTTATCATTATAATAAAGGCATGTGTTTGTTTATTTATTTATTTATTTATTTATTGAGAGGTTTTTGCTATAGGGCACGTGTGCTCACCAGACAGACAGAGAGAGAGAGACAGAAAGCGAGAAATCACCCCCCAGGGGGATGGCCACGCCGCAATCCCTTCTCCTCCATTCTCCTCTCAGGATCTTGGGCACGCACGCACACGCACCCAGCATGAGTTTTAAGTCACTGGGTCCGGGACGCGAACCGTGGTTGACTACATGGGAGTCTAGCGACATAGCCATTATGTTAACTGCTGGTCCCAAGGCATGTGTTTATTATAAAAACTTGGGACCTAACAGAGAAGCCTAAGAAAAATATCTTGGGCAGCAGCTCACCCAGCGATAGCCATGGGGAACATCCGGGCCGTCTCCTTCTGTCTCCTTTCCCTGAGTAATGCTCTTACCCAAGGAAAGTAAGCCAGGGAGCAGGCTGTGAGTAATGCCTGTGTTTCAAATCACAAGCCAAGTGGCATGCTCATGAGGAGGCCAGATCTTGATCCCGCTGATAATTTTCTAAGACATTAGTTTTTTTGTTTGTTTGTTTTGCTGTAGCGAGCATGTGCTCACTGGGGAGAGTGAGAAAGAAGGAATGTGAGAAAACAGCCCCTGCTCCCATAGAGGTTATGGCGGCACCATAATCCCTTCTCCTCTCAGGATTTTGGATATGCATGCATATGTGCCTGGTGTGATTTTCAAGCTACTGGGTCGAGGACTCTAATCTGAGTTGGCCATGTGGGATCCAACTGCCTTAACCTCCATGCCACCTGCTGGGCTTCTTCTAAGAGTTTTGTTTTTTTTTTAATATACAAAAACTTCTTTAAAAAAATTAATTAATTTAAATTTGACCAAAGAGGGAGGAAGGGGAAGAGAGAGAAAGAGAGAGAGAAAGCAAGCCGCCAGATGTGGGACTTGAACCGTGGTCAGCTGTGTGAGAGTCCAGTGCCCTTAACCACCATGCCTGCTGGCCTCTTATTTATTTATTTTTTTTAAGAGAAGTTTTTGCTACAGGGTGCATGCACTTCCAGAGAGACAGACAGAGACAGAGAGACAGAAAGCAAGAAATCACTCCCCAGGACTGTGGGCTACACCACAATCCCTTCTCCTCCATTCTTCTCTCGGGATCTTGGGCACGCATGTATACAACTGGTGAGTTTTAAGCCTCTGGGTCCAGGACTCGAACTGCGATCAACTGTGTGGGAATCTAGTGACGCAACCATTACACCATCTGCTGGTCCCCTTCTAAGAAATTGTTAATGCACTTCTTATGCTGTGGAAGTTGAAGTCATAGGCTAGGCTACTGGCCAGGACCTTTGATCTGAATGAGAGTTTTGGGTTTTGGAGCAGCTGTGGGCAGGGACCTCTGACCCGTGTTGTCAAGCATTCAGGCCATTTCCTGCCCAGTGGCCCAATGGCCAGAGCACTCCTTTACTTATTTCTGACTTCCTGGCCGCCACCTGCTCTTTGAGCCATGGACAAGACTGAGCTGAGGACTGAGCATAAAGTGGGGCATGACTTCACAGGCCTTGGGGAGAGCCCGCTGGCCCACGTGCTGTCCACTGCCTGGCATTCTTTTAATAGGGGACAGCATCCAACTTTCCATATTAAAGGGAAGGTGGGCCTTGCCTTAGAGCTGGTTCTGGAGGGAGAGAGAGCGTGGAGGAGGCGCTGGCCCTGCAGAGCTGCAGTGAGGAAGCAGCAGTGCCGGTGCAGCAGGGCAGGGAATTGAACCATGTGGCCCACGCACCAAGTCCTTGAATGCCAATGCTGGTAGAGACACTAATGTCACCTCAGGTGAACTCCCTGTATCCCAAGTCAAGAAACCGAGGCTGCTTTCTGCCCAAGGTCATGTAACCTTGAGTCCCCTCCCTTCACCAGGTGCCTAGCTCAGGGTTCCTGGGTGAGAGGGTGCAGAAGAAGCGAGGGCTTAGGAAGCTTAATCATCACCTTGGGAAATATGCAAGCCTTCTAGTTTTGTGAGGAGTGCGTCTTCTTTAGTTCACAGGTTAGTTTTGGGGAACCAGCTGTATGTTCATTGGGGGCTTGGGGGAGGGACGAGGTTGAAGATGAACCTGGAAAGTGATGGTAGAGTCAGGATATGGCAGGAGGTGGGGTAAGAACTGGTTAGAATAGGAGTTTAAGGCTAGACTTATCTCACATACCTTCCAATGCTTTGAGAAAAGGCTTCTGGAGTTCTGTTTTTTTTTTTTTTAATTTTTTTTTTTTGGCTAAGATAAATTTATTATTGAAGAAAGAAAAATAGTTTTTATAAATTTAGTGTAGTTTAAGAATACAATGTTTATAAAATATAAAGTAATATAATGTCCTAGGCCTTTACATTCACTCACAACTCAATTATTGGCTCATGCAGACAAACTTCCAGTCCTGCAAGCACCATTCATAGTAAGTGCCATATATAGGTTAGGCCATTTTAATCTTTTATATGGTACTTTTAGTATACCTTTTTTTTTAATCATCATAATCTTCCTTATATTACATTGGATTACATATAACTTTACAGTGCATTACATTGCTTTTTCAAAAGGGAATGCCATGCAAGTCAGTCAGTACAAAGACATTAATCTCCCCGCTTCAACATTCGATATCTTCTCTATGTTTTCCCCAATCATTATTATTATTATTATAATTATTTTTTAAAACAGTCAATCGCTATTTCTTTTTTTTTTTTATTCTAAAATGCACGTTTATTTAGGGGAATATTTGATTTTTCACTATGTGGAAAGTTCAATTAATATTTTTTCCTTTTTTTTCAATTTTACAATCTCAATATATATGTTATTGAGGTTATGCATGATAATTCTATCTTTCTAACTTCACAATGGAATATTAGTTACACTTTATACAGATAGTGAACTTTTTTTTTAAATTCACAGATGCATCTTTCTCTTGGATCCTCATTTCTTCTTTTTTTTTTTTTCTCGGTATTGCTTTTTTTTTTTTTGTATTACCTAACATTCATTCCCTGAGCATCATCACAACATACTAAATGTGGTTTCCCATCTAGGATAAACTGCACAGTGGCTTAATCATGCATGTTATCATCAATAATATTCCATTTCTACTTTCATACATATGTATACGTATATATGTTTTTTATCCTATGCTTGACCCTCTGCCCTTTCCCCCACTCTCCGATCACACCATCTCTGCTATATACAGTTGTCTTCCAGAAAAGTTATTGAAAATGTGATACATGCAAGTAAAGGGAGAGGGAATGGTGTTGTGGGGTTCTGCAGCGTGAGTTATCCTCGGGTATCTGGCTTCCTTAAGATTGGTAGAGTAGTTCTTGTTTTTCCCTGAGGTAATGCAGGGCTGGTAACCATCATCTTCTCACTGTCCATAGGTAGAGAATATCCTCCTATACAATATATTTCTCAATTGGTTTAAGACAGCTAAAGTTTCTTTCTGTTGCTTATAGTTGCAAGTTCTTAATCCTTGTTTTCGGCTTCAGTTTGCCACAGGCTCGGGGGCCATGCGCCGCGCTAGGCCGGGCGTCGCGTGGGGCGGAGGCCCCGGCCGTGCCTCTGTGCCTCTTCAAAAAAATTTTTTTGAAGATCAACTCGATATGATTTTAAATAAAGACATAAGAATGGAAATTTAAAAAAAAATTTCTTTTTATTGCCAGAGGGTGTATGTTCTTGCCAGAGAGAGACAGAGAGAGAGA